CGATTGCGATGGACGACCTAGATCAATACGAAATAGTTATAAATACTTCACATCACACGGAAAACTAAACTCTAGCTGCCAGCCCTCGTTAGATAAAAAGAACCATATGCTAGAAAAAGAGGCCGACTGCCGACCGTTGTCACGCCAGAGCCACTGCCGATCATTAAAAAAGGTAAAAAATTTTCATACTTGCTCGGAATTCGATTTCGAGCACCCATGTGACCAAATCAGAGCAAGAGGGACGATGGCTGAGTTGGAAACTGCGGGCAAAACTCAATATAGCCGTCATGGCTAAAACTCTAAAACCACTCCAATGAGTCCTTTCTCGATTCTTGTTTTAAGAGATTTTTTAATCATTGTGTTTACCGTCCTTTTCTGTGCAGGGTAGCCAAAGAAAAAACCTCAACCGCAAAGGAGGACTGACAGAGTAGTCGCATCTGGAGGTCCCCCCCGTCAGTAGGTTCAGTTTTTTGTGTGGTTTTTCGGCTAACCGATGCCCTTAACGTATTTTTCTGTAGAAAATACAGCCAAAACTAGTCAAACCGGTCAAAGCCAATCAAAATTGACTAGGCCGAGACGAATCGCCGATGTGGGCGGTGGAGCACGGCAGCGACGCTGTGTCGGAACCCTAAAAATTGGCAGAATGAGTTTTCGACACTAATTTTGGATTTTTGGAGTATTTTTAAATGCGTGACGAATGTTTGAATTTTACAAAAAAAATTCAGAGAACTCGGTACCCGTTCGGAGGTGTAGTAGACAGCTCGACAACTCAAAACGCCGATCCAAGTAGAGATCCCTCACCCAATTCTCCATTACAGTAAATTGAGACTTAATAATATATAATTTTGTATTTTTGTGAAAATTAAAAAATCCTAAAAATAGTTATAGGTTATTAGTAGAGACAGAACCAGTTAGTTCACAATTGTCTTGATTCATGTCTATTTTCCTATACCATCCTAGTTGCTTCATTTTCGTATAGAACATGTTCTTAAATTATAGTTCAATTGTCTTATCAACTTATCTGGTTATTTTGTTTATATACCGTTATCATGAATATAGTTTAATTGATTTGTGAATGTGATATGAGACATGGATATAAGTTTGTTGGTTATTTTCTATGAGAATATTTACGTGAAAGACTTATTGGGTACCCAGGAAAAAGGCGGACATGCCCGGTATATATGGAACTATTTGTGAACGTTACCTTGGTCGGATATGGTTAAGAAGTCTCTTATCGGAAAGATTTAAGAGATATGATTCACCCTCATATCGGACGGAGTATCAAAGTAATAGAATGTTTGGCACCCATTATTGGACGGGGTATGGGACGGCCAGTTAATTGTCAAAATTGGTTATTGGGTTCACAAGTAGGGGAGACATCCCTATGGAGTACCAGTAAGCAGGTAAAAAAAGAAAATTATTGTTTCTTATTCTCTTATGTGTAAAAGTGAAAAGTGATATGGATATGAGTTTTCATAGGTTGTTTTAGAAAATTCATTACGGTAAGTTCAGAATAAACAATTTTTTTTATATATTAAATAAATTCACTTAAATTAAGTGTTCTATTAGTTGTTTTATGATTTTTACTAGTATTCAATTTTTCGTATCTGTGATCAGCGTGATATTCTTACCAGGCTACTGTACCTCACCTTTTCATTGACTATTTCAGATAAAGAGAACCAAGATTCAGATCCTGATCAGGAAGAGAATTGTGAGTAGTTCACTATCCAGATTCCCTTTAAGTGCTAGTGAATGTTGTCCTAGGATGTTCAGCTATTCACTTTTCATTTCATTTCTTTAATTTCTATTTATCTTTTAGAATGGACATTCCCGTAATGCTATTGGACATTCTAAATTATTGTATAAGTAATATAAACTCTAACTCTATTAATCGCTTTCGCATTAAATTTATGAAATTATTTCCCTTTAAGTTCTGAGTCTTTACAATTGGTATCAGAGTCAGGTTCCTCGGAACCATTCATTGCATAAAGACTTAAAAAGATACCAAATACAAACTATTACTCAACATTTCCTTATGAAATGCAGGTACAAAAAAATGAGGAGATGAAGACCGCCACTAAATTGAGCAGCTTGGAATGGCTCATTTTGAGGAGATGTTGATCGACTCTTTAAGATACTAGAGAGACTCATCTCTGTTCAGTAGGCTCGGGAGGAAAGGAGGGAGCTGTTTGACCCTCTTTCGTTGCCACAATTTGAGCCACCCTTACAGCAGAAAAAACCGTAGCCACCCCGGTTCAACCATGCTACTTTATCGTATCATCCGACACCACTATAGTACAATTTGGTGCCTCCATGATATCATTCAGTATTACCATAGTACAGCTCGGTGCCTCCACCATATCAACTAGCACCACCATAGGACCACCCGGTCCTCCCCAACACAATTCAGTCCTCTTCCACAGGACCCAATTCTACCCATAGTGGACTCAGACTACATTGAAAGGTACAAAAGATTAAATCCATCTACCTTTGCAGATGCATCCTCTTTTAAAGAGGTCGAGTATTAGTTAGCTGAGACAGAGAAAGCCTTCGCGACTCTTGGGGTAGTTCCCGAACAGAAGGTTGTACTTGCCACCTATATGCTTGTAGGAGAAGTAGGCAGTGGTGGTAGCTCAAGTAGGCCACCATGCCCCTTCAACTCACTTGGGAACAGCTCCTGACGGCCTTCAATATAGAGTACCTCCCAGAGCACCTCTGACATTTGAAGGAGATGGAGTTTGCACACCTAATATAGTGTGAGATGACTGTGTCGGAGTATACCTGAAGGTTCCTAAAGTTCGATTGATATTCCCTTGAGAGCATGATGGATGAGGGCAGAAAGGCAAGGAAGTTCGAGTGGGGCTTCCGTCCTGAGATCAGACAGCAGCTGTACGTATGAACTTAGCACTTACTCAGCCGTTCTGGTCGAGACACAACTAATAGAGAGGAACCTTCACATCTTCCTCCAACAGTGGGGAATCCCAGACCCTCAGTTTCACACTGCAGACCAGCACCAACTGCACCAGTTCAACAGAATAAGAGGCCCAGGCCAGTGACTCAAACTCCTCCTTAGGCTCCGGTAACATGCTGCGGTAGGACTTACCAGTATTGTGACAAGGATCATGGGGATCGACCAAGCTATCGTCTCAATAATACTTGTCGCTTATGTGGGAGTACCCAACATTATGCGAGAAAGTGCCCGTA